GTGGCACATCCCCAATAGGGGGTGTGCAAGAGGCAGCTGATTGATGTTTCTCATTGATATTTCTTTTTTTTTTTTTTTTAAATATATATTTTATTGATTTTTTACAGAGAGGAAGGGAGAGAGATACAGAATTAGAAACATCGATGAGAGAGAGTCATCGATCAGCTGCCTCTTGCACACCCCCTACTGGGGATATGCCCGCAACCAAGGTACATGCCCTTGACCGGAATCGAACCTGGGACCCTTCAGTCCCCAAGCCGACGCTCTATCCATTGAGCCAAACCGGTCCCGGCTCTCATTGATATTTCTAACTCTCTATCCCTCTCTCTTCCTCTCTTTAAAAAATTAATAATTATATATATATATATATATATATATATATATATATATATATTTTTTTTTTTTTTTTTTTTTTTTTTTTAATGCATGTGTTTTCAACAAAAGGTGCTGGACAATTGGATATCCACATTCAAAAAATTGACCTTAGAACCTCATTTTATTCCATATTCAAAAATTAACTCAAAATGGGTCATAGATATAAATGTAAGAGCTAAAACAGTAAAACATTTAGAAGACAACATGAAAGAAAATCCTTGAGATCTAAAGCAATGATTTGCTAGATATAACACCAAAAGTATGGTCCATAAAAGAAAAATAATTGATAAATTATACTTCATGCAAATTCAAAACTTTTATATTTCAAAAGATACCATTAAGAAAATGAACCCATCAAACAACAGACTCAGGAAAAATATTTGCAAAATGTATTTATTATGGGACTTGTATTCAGAATTTATAAAACATTCTTCTAACTCAACTTAAACGATAGCAAACAATCAAATACAAAAAAAAAGTAAACATTGGAGTAACATCTTACCCAAGAAGACATACAAATAGCTAATAAGTACATGAAAAGTGTTCAACATTAATCGTCACTGGAGAAATGTAAATTAAAGCCACGATGAGATACCATTTCACACCAGTTGGAATGGCTGTAAGATAGAAAATAACAAATATGGATGTGGCAAAATGAGAACCCTCATACATTGTTGAAGGGACTGTAAAATAGTATGACTACTTTGGAAAACAGTTTGCAGTATCTCAAAAAGCTCAACATAAAACTATGATATGACCCAGCAATTCTATTCCTAGTTATCTACCAAAGATAACATAAAAACATATGTCCAAAGACTTGCATGTTATAGTGGCATTATTTGTAATAACCTGAAACTGAAAACAATGTCCATCATCTGGTGAAGGTATAGATACACTGACATACCTACATTGGGATATTGTTCAGCAATAAAAAGTAACAAACTATTGACACATGCTATGCCAGGCATGAGTCTCAAAAATATTAAAGAAGCCAGACATGAGAGATTCTGTAAGTGTCCAGAGAAAGAAAGTTTCTACAGACAGAAAATATATTATTGGTTTTCTAGGGCTGAGAATAGAAATGAGAATCCTATATAATAAGAGAAGAATATGCTAATTATCCATTATACCCTGAACTACAAGCAGGGGCCGGAGAGCTACAGGAGGGGGCAGGGTAGCAAGCTATTGGGGCACGGGGGCATAGGGGGGGGGGAAGGTAGGGGGGGTGAAGAGAAGCTCCAGGAGGGCAGGGCAGCAAGCTAGGAGCAGTAGAGAGCTACCAGCTGCAGTGAGCAGGTGGCCAGCTGAGGCAAGTGGCAGCAAGCTACTCACACACAGATTCGTGTATAGGGCTACTAGTCTATAATAATCTATAATAATAAAAGTATAATATACTAATTAAACTGAACATCCTCCCAGATGTCCTTCCGGACCAAACCAGGGCTTCGAGGGAAGCCCAGATTCCGGATGCCAGAGGGAAGGAAGGCCTACTCTTGCACAAATTTCATGCTTCCTGCCTCTACTTAACTATAAATGGGCATGAGGGATCTTACTGTGGTGATGAAAATCTTCTAAAATTAATCTATGAAAGTTAAACCACTTGGTAAAGTTACTAAAAATTACTGAACTGTACACTTGGAATGAGTGAATTTTATAATATGTAAAATATACCTCAATGAAGTTGTTTTTAAAAATGTATGTGCTATTGTTTCTTGGCCCTTGAATTAAATAAATGACTTTAAATTGTAGCAACTTCTATAATTTTTGTTAAACTGTACTAATTCTAACCTCGGCTAGGAAAACCCGATACAGAGGCTCTAACACATTATTAGGAACATCACTCGGAATGGTTGCTCATTGGCCACAGGCCCTCCAGGAAGAGGATTTCTCATAAATCAAAGTACCTTATGTTGGTTTACATTTTAAGAAGCCAGTGCCTGGAAGCAGCTCAAGTATTATATACAAGGGATTTAAGTTGTGCTTTGGGAATGGGCCAATTGATTAGATGGGTATTTTAGTCTATATTCAGATTAGTTAAAGAATGTTTTAAAATAAACAAAAATTTTAACACAACTTGGAAGAACTTAGGGTAAGTTATATACCCTGTACATGTCCAGACATCGAAGGCACCACTTGCTTGAGTAACAACTTCATAATGTTGAAACATAATAGTCCTCAATGATCTTTAATGACATTTCAAGCATTAATCCAATCCCACAGATCTTCCTGCATTCATTCTAAATATATTCTCTTCACTATCCGTCCTATTTATGAGGTCTTTCAAAAATAACTTAGAACTTCATAGCCCTCATGGGACTTCAAAGAATTTTACAAACTTTTTAGGTCTTTACACAAATACAGCCTTGTCTGTGAGGCCTTACCTGACACCTTATTGAAGACTGCCAGTCTCACAAAACTCCCTAGCCTCCCTGCCCTGGTGCATTTCCTTCTGACACATATAGTGAAAACTGTTTCTCTTCCCTTACTGGGAATATAAATTCCACAAAAGGGTTTTTTGTTTGTTTGTGTTTTGTTTTTTTAAATATATTTTATTGATTTTTTACAGAGAGGTAGGGAGAGTGATAAAGAGTTAGAAACATCGATGAGAGAGAAACATCGATCAGCTGCCTCCTGCACACCACACCCCCTATTGGGGATATGCCCACAACCAAGAACTTGCCCTTGACTGGAAAGGAACCTGGGACCCTTACTCTGCAGCCCAACGCTCTATCCATTAAGCCAAACTAGTTAGGGTAAAAGGGTTTTGTTGTTGTTGTTGTTGTTTTAAATCTGGTTTTGTTCCTTGGTGTATCTCCATTGCCTACAACAGTGCCTAACATATTGTAGGTGTTCAGTAAGTGTTTTCTGAACAAATGAAAGGGTATCAAATATATCAGTGTTTCCCAAACTTCTCTCATGATGAGAATCACCTGGTGGAGTTGTTAAAACTACAGATTTCTGAATCCCAACTAAGAAGTGCTAAACTAGAATTTTTGGGAACATATAGGTAAAATTTACAATTTGTTCCCAAAAATTCTAGTTTAGCACTTCTTAGTTGGGATTCAGAAATCTGTAGTTTAACAACTTCACCAGGTGCTTCTTATCATGAGAGAAGTTTGGGAAACACTGAATATGAAATAAAAGCTGATCCTTGCCACAGAAATATGCAATGAGTTCATTCTATTTGACAAACTTAAGATTAAAATATGAATTTTAAATAAAATAGAAGCCTCGGAATAGTCTCCAGACTGCCTAGCCAACATTTCTATAGCAAAAAACAAAAAGAAGGCGGGGAGGGGGAAGAGAACAACGTTTTACTTATAATTCTGGATTTGCAACAATCATATGGAGAGTATTTTTAATAAGCTGGCTCGAGTTCTGGGGAGAAGGCAAATTAATTAAATCCTGTGTGACTTTTGTTAACAACACAAAAAGGGAAGTTTAATACTTAACCAGTAAGAAGTAAAATATTTCTAAGGCAGCCTGTTTTCCTCCACTCAAAGTGGGATTCCATCACCAACAAAAATAGACCTCAGTAGAATCTGCTTTAGCAGCTCTGGCCTCCAAGGCCCCACATCCTCTGAGACAGAACACTAAGGAACCTTTTTCTCCCTCCATCCCCATACCTCCCCCACCACCACACACACACACACCCCAGACCATTTCACACACGCCAACCAACCTTCAGACTCCGAAATTCTAATCAACCCACCCCCCTCCCCTGACCCAAGGCAGCAGCATCCCAGCCTCTCCCACGCCCAGCCCCTCCACACCCCCTCCACAGTCAGGCCACCAACATGCCCTCCCCACCTCCCAGCCCCTCCACACCCCCTCCACAGTCAGGCCACCAACATGCCCTCCCCACCTCCCAGCCCCTCCACATCCCCTCCACAGTCAGCCCACCAACCAGACCTTCCTCAGGCAGCCCCAACCAGCCAGCCCTCTGACCCCCAGCACCTCCAAATCCTCTCCACAGTCAGCCACCAGCCAGCCCTCCCCACCTCCCAGTCCCTCCACAGTCAGCCCACCAGCCAGAGTCACGCAGCAAGAAAGAAAGGGGTGGCAGGGACCTCCAGCCTGGCCAGAATTGGAAGACATTTTGCACTTCATCCTGGTTCTGCACTTTTCAGTGTGACCTTGGGCGTGTTCCTAAACCACCAGGGGTCCCTGGCCTTTGGTCACCTTCGAGGCACGGATAGCACCTGCAGCAAGCTACCGTGGGGATTCAATGAAATCACATGTGAAGCACCTAGCAGGGCACCGGGCACGAAATGGAACTCCAAATCCTGCCTCAGGGGTGTTACTGGCCAGCCCGACCCCACGGCCGCAGAGCCCGCGGGCACAGCCGGAACAGGGCAGCTCCCGCCGGCTTTCGGCTTCGGAGACCAGGATACAGGTCCGGGGAGAAGGCGGCTCCCGAACCCCGACAGGCGGCGGGGCGCTGTCCCGGACCCCACGACGCCGACCCTCCCTCTCCCGCGTCCCGGCCCGGACGCAGCCGCCGCCCTCCGGGCGCTCCACCTGCCGCCAGGCCCGCGCCGCCCGGCTCCACGCTCCCCGGCTCCCGCCAGGAGGACGCCCCGCGAGGAGGCGCCCCTCGGCGCGGCCTCGGAATGGTACTCAACTCTTCACTTTGCCGAAGGTGCCGACGCCCAGCGTGTCGCCCAGCACGTAGTGGCCGATTTTCACCCGCCCGTCGTGCTTCTGCTTCTCAGCCATCTTCGGCGCGCGCAGCCTCGCTCCACCGCCGCCGCCGCCGCCACCAAGGGCTCCCCGAGCGGCGCCGCTACCCACAGTGCAGCGGGCGGGGCAGCGGGGGAGAGAGGGGTGGGCCGCGGAGACTCGGCGGCGGCCAGCAGCGCCGGAGTGGGCGGGGCGGGGCCAGGTGGCAAAGGCCACCAGTCGCGGGTGGGGGGGTGGGGCGGGGGCGGGGCGGGGGCGTGGCCCAAGCGAGGGGCGGGGTGTGTCAGTGCGGACAGGTGTGCAGGGCGGGGGGCGGGGAACGGCGCCCCTTTCCCTGGGGGAGGGGCCGGGGAGCGCAGGCTGTAGGGACGTATTTTGAGGAACCCCAAAGGGACTGGGAATGTGAGGGTGAGATCTGGACCGGATCCCAGGGAATGGAAAGCGGTGGAAGTCGAACTGGAAGAAGAGAAGCAGGCCCCAAGTGAGGAGAGCGGGTGTGAGTCTAAGGCTGTGGTCGGCAAACTGCAGCTCTTTGGCCCTTTGAGTGGCTCTTCCACAAAATACCTGGGCGAGTCTATGTTGAAGAAGTGACATGAGAACTTTAAGTTTTAAAAAAATTGGCTCGCAAAAGAAATTTCAATCGTTGTGCTCTTGGTATTTGGCTCTGTTGACTAATGAGTTTGCCGACCACTGGTCTAAGGGAAGCGGTGGGGAGTCTCTGTCCAAGAGCAGTCGAGTGGAGCACCAGGAAGCTTCTGGGATCTCAGGCTGAGTGTGTTTGAAACAGACCATGATCTGTGGGGAAATTCTTTGCTCTCTTCAGTCCTCCGCCTCCACGTATATTATAGTCATCAATCACTTTGTCCTAAAGATATAAGAACCTTGTCCTCTCGAGCTCTCAGTTCTCATTTACAGGAAGTTCTCCAATGACTCACAGCCACCATATTTGCTAATGGCATTGGAACACATGCTTATATAAATACACAGTGTGTAGACATACTTTGGGATAGAACTGTGCAGAGACAGTGACAAAGGAAAAGGGAAACTGAATGTAAAGAACATGGTCAAATATATATGGACAAAGAAATTGTGAAGAGCAAGAGCAAATCAATATAAGAGCACAAATTAAAGAATAAATGTGACAAAGATAGAAGTGGGGTTAAAAAAGGAGGGGGGGAGGCGTGGCGACTAGAAGCATGATGCCCAGCCACAGCATTAAAGACTGACACGAATTTAGTAATTAGGTACCCCTTCTTTCTTCCTCTCTCCTTTCCTTCCATCCTTCCTACCATATTGTCCTAGTTTGTTGCCTTTCAGTGCTTAAAAGGCTTTGGCTGTTTGGTAATAAATGTTTAAGATTAGTTGAAAATTTTTAATATTATGTATGACAGAATTTCAAGGTCACATTCCTCAAGCAAAAGGTCTTTATCACACCGAAACCGGTTTGGCTCATTGGATAGAGCATTGGCCTGTGGACATAAAGGACCCGGGTTAGATTCCAGTCAAGGGCATGTACCTTGGCTGCGGGCACATCCCCAGTAGGTAGGGGGTGTGCAAGAGGCAGCTGATCAATGATTCTCATGGATGTTTCTAACTCTCTATCCCTCTCTCTTCCTCTCTGTAAAAAAAATCAATAAAAAATATATTTTTAAGAAGTCTTTTATCACACTGTTTATATGTGAAAATATAAATATATTGATAAAAAAGGATAAGATGTAACAAAAGTTTATTTTCTGAGAAGTGATAAATGATAAAATGGCAAATATACATCCATTCTCATTTAGACACCAAAACAATCTGAGAGCTGATCAGAGCTTATAAATTATAGATATCACAGCTGTTGAACAGAGGCTATTTTTGTTCATTCTTGAGATCATCTTACTTGCTGACAAGTATCATTTAAGAATCACTCTACCTAGCTGGCAATTTAGGAGAAAATAGCCAGTTATTTTTGATACTAAACCTTCATTTGGTTAAAGGTCACTCCTTCAATATTCATTTAATTCATTAGGAAGCCGTGTTATAGTAGAAAGATAAAGGACACATCAGAACAAAATACCTATTCAGCTTTTGAGATATAAGATGTATGTCTGTCTCTTGTTCTAAGATCCCATTAAAAGATGTTAAAAAGTCTGTAAGATTGCTTTCTTGATACTATGCAAAGAGAGGACTATAAATAAATATTTTAATACATTCTTCACTGTCTTAACTATCCTTATATAATAAAAGCCTAATATGCAAATTACACCCTCTACCAGGAGTTCTGCTGGGAGTTCCACTGCTTGCTATGATATGCTCTGACCACCTGGGGCGCGTGAAACATGGCAGGTGTTGGTGATGGGGTGCTGGCAGTGGGCGGCAGTGAAGGCACTACAGGCTTCAATGAGCTCTGATGAGAACAGGATCGGGGTAGGGTGGTAGAGCAGGTGTGGGCAGTGCCAGGCCAAGGCCCTTGCAATCCACTGATTTGCAATGGGGGGGAGGGGGCAAATCACCCTACTGATCTGATCACCCTGCTGATCCCATGGCCCACTGCCATCCAGCTCCCAGGCACTGAGGGAGCCAGGCGGGGGCCAGATGCCCTGCCCATCTGATCACAGAGCTCTCTTCAATCATCTGCCTCTACATATATGATAGTCATCAATTAATTCAACACCTGAGAGCCAAGTGGTGGTGGGGCTATTGGCGGGGTGATTTGGGCTCTACAGGCAGCCACCAGCAGTAGCAGCAGCAGCAGGGGAGCAGGCAGCCAGGGGAAGGGAGGGAGTACCCAGCCAGCAGCTAGCAGCTGCTAGGGACCTTACTAGTGCATGAATTTCATGCACTTGGCCTCTAGTTTGTTGATAATTACAACTTAAGTTATTATATATTTCATAACTGTGATTCTTACCTAGCTACTATAAACTACCTCGTAGCTTTATTTTTATGTCAAACAAGTGTATGATAACTTGTTGATTAAGAAGTTAATTTAAACACAGTTATCTCATTTAATTGTCATAAAGGAAACATTATCATTTCCATTCTATAGATGATAAAAGTTTTTCCTTTTCTGAATTGCGCAAGGCTAATCAGCTAAATGGTAGAGTCAGAACCCATATCTAGTTCTGATGTGTCCTTTATCTTTCTACTATAACACGGCTGCATAATAAAAACATAAGGTGCTCTATGAAAGTTTAACATTCTCACAATTACAGTTCTACTCTCATATTTTTATTATTTCTAGGACAGGCCAATAATAACCGTTTAAGCTTATATTTTTAGCTCTTTTCTTGGCATTGATTTAGAGAGAAGGTTGAATGTTAACAGGGTGAGAAGGGTGAGTAAGGGCAACTCTGGCAGCAGCCTCAGTCTTTCTGTTCCCCTGAACATTTTAGATGTGGTTCCAACTCTGCCTCTCTCTACCCAGCAATATAAACCTCTCAGTTAATCAGACCAAATCTCTTTTAACAGCCATGTTCTTTGGGGGTTTCACTCCCCAAACACATTCTTATAAATGCAATATCCCTCACTTTATTATTCCCCATGATGTTTCAGTTCTTAATCCTGGTCCAACTGTTACTGCCTTACCCTCCCTTACTGTGTCTTCAGGATTATTTCACTTCAAATATTCTATAGTAAGGCTGAATAGGCGAATAATGACATACTACACTAGATTCCACTGGGATCATTGGTAACTAGTTCCTTCAAGTTTTTGCTCAAAGTTATCCCACGAGGCCTGCTTCCTCTTACCAACCCTTTTTAACTGCAGTTTTATCTCACATGTCCTCTTTAACTCCCTTAATTTACTGCTAACATACTAATTTGTTTATTATGTTTTTTGTTTGCCTGTCTCTCCCAACTAGAGTGTAAGCTTCATAAGAGAGTTTTGTTTTGTTTTTAATTTGGTTCATTGATGTACCCTTAGTTCCCAGAGCAGTGCCTTATAAATTTACAAACACCGAAGTAGATTCAGGTTGTGTGACCTTTGAAGTTTATACAATGTGGGAGACTTCTTGATGTGGTGGTGGTGGGGGGGGAGATTGCAAAATTGGGTGTGAAAGTGAATATATATTTGAAATAAAAAGAACTATCTAGAAATATATGACAACAGAAACATTCCCAAATGTTCATCTCCTGGTTCATAGGTCAATGCTCAATCACTGAGCCACACCAGCCACGCTCTTCTTCTATCTTGATTGAACAAGTATTTTATCACATGTTTCTCTTCAGAATTCCCAAAGCACTTTTTTCATATACCTAATATAGCATCTATCAATTCTGTTATTACATATACTTTATATATCATACACTTATATATATTTCATATCTATCAATGAATATTTCATATATTTATGTATGAAAACAACATACACCATATGCTATTCTGAGGGCCTAATGCAACCTGGTTCATCTCTCCAGATATATGTGTTGAATTAAAATAAAGAAGATGGTTACTAAACTATGGAATCAAAGAGCAAGAATATACGAAGGAACGCTCTAGAAAGATGTCAAAGGTAATTGCAGATTCATTTTACTTATATCCATATTAAATACTAAGCATAATTTTTCATCTTGCTGTAGTAGTAAGATTGGAGCTAGGCATAGGCCAGAACATACTGGACCTTATGGATTTATAGGCATGAGCCAGAACATACTGAAATTTATGATGAGGTGTTCCTGTATTGTTCTCCAACTTACAATATAAAGTAAGTTGGATACTCAGTAATTAATGAAGTGTGTTGATAATATCATAAGTAATACAAACTAAATAATTACTTTTTTCATTTTTATTATGAAAATGTTTAAACATAACACTAAAGTAGTATAAATAACCTACACCCTCAATGATTGTCAACATTTACCAATCTATCTTTGTATTTTAAAAATTAGTTTGTTTCCTGTGATGTTTTAAAGCAAATAACTAAATATATTATTTCATTGGTAAGAACTGGTATATACTCCAACAGATAAGAACTTCTTTTTAACATAACTGTACTACCACCATCACAGCTACCAAACTTAACAATAATTCCTTACTATTATGGAATACCCACTAT